TATTCTGTCATTTCTTTCCCCGTTTCCCATTATAAGTTCCATGAGACACCAATTTTGTCCATTGGATTCACTCGTGTGTATTCAGCACCTAAAATAGTAGCACATAGAAGGGGCTCAAAAGGTATTTTTACAATTTTTTATTTATTAAATTTTTCATTAAATTTTTATTTGGGGATAATTGTAGATTAGCGTGGAATTATAAGCAAATAATACAGAGAGATGCAGTGTACAATTTACTACTCAGTTTTCTGCAATGGCAACGTCTTACCAAACCATAATAAAATATCACACCTCAGATATCAACATTGATACAATAAGGATACAGAAGACTTCCATCACCACAGGGATCTGCCATGTTGTGCTTTTATAGCGAATCCACTTCCTTCTGCCCCCTACCCTTTGCTTAATCCTTGGTACCCACTAATCTGTTCTCCACTTTTGTAATTCTGTCATTTTGAGAATGTTGTATGAATGGAATCATGTGGTATGTAATCTTTTGAGATAGGCATTTTCACTCCGTGTAATTCCCTTGAGATCCATCTAAAATGTGTCTATCACTAGTTCATTCCGTTTTATTGCTGTATAGTATCACATGGTTTGGACATATACAATTTCTTTGACCATTCACCCATTAAAGGGCATCTAGGTTGTTTCCAGGTTAAGACCATGACAAGTCAAAATGCTCTAAGCATCCGTGTACAGGTTTTTGTGTGAAAATAAATTTTTATTTCTCCGGGATAAATGCTCAGGAGTACAATTGCTGGGTTTTGTAGCTGATGTATGTTCAGAATTTTAAGACACCACCAGACTGTTTTCCAGAGTGACCGTAACATTTTCATTTCACTGTCAATGTATGAGTGATCCAGTTTTTCTGTGTCCTTGCCAACATTTGATCTTGACACTATTTTTCCTTTTATTTTAGCCATTCTAATAGATATGTAGTAATAACTCATTGTAGTTTTAGTCTGCATTTCAATAAGTACTAATGCTGTTAAATATCTTTTCATGTGCTTACTTGCCATCTGCTTTACCTTTTTGGTGAAATGACTCTCCATGTGTTTCGCTCATGTTCTAATTGGATTGTGTGCTTCTCTATTGTTGAATTATTCAAAGTTTTTATATATTCTAGATACAAATCCTTTGTCAGATAAGTGGTTTGCAGATATTTCACTTTCACTCTATATGTTGTCTTTTCATTGTCTTGACAGGGTCTCTGATGTGTGAAAGTATTAAACTTTGATGCCATCTAATTTATTAATTTCTCCTTTTATGGCTCATGTTTTTGGAATATATACTACTTGAAAAATCTGTTTTACTAGCAATGAACATTGCTAAGGACTCTGCCTAGCCCTAGATTCTGAAGATTTTCTTCTTCTTTTTTTCTAAAACTTTAACAGTTTTACATTTTACATTTAAGCCTGTCATGTATTTTGCGCTAATATTTATACAAGATGTGAGATCTTCACCAAGGTTGGGTTCTTGCCTATGGATGTCCATGTGCTCCAGTATCACTGTTGAAAGGCTGCCTTTCCTCTCTTGAATAGCTGCTGTTCCATCTTTGTCAAAATTAGGTGTGCATAATCGTGTAGCTCTAGTTCTGCGTTTTCTACTCTGTACCACTGAACCATGTGCCCATCTGTTATTCTAACCATACCTCACAAACTTGAGAACTGCAGCCATGTAAGTCTTAAAAATCGCTCTACCTGATTTCAAGACATACTTTTCAAAATTGTGCTGGCTATTCTAGTTCCTTTGTACATCTATATACATTTTTGAAAAATCTTGTCTATATTCAAAAAGTCTTGTGGTAATTTTGCTTGCAGTTGCAGTAAAGAACTGACATCTTTAGTACATTTTGTTTAAATCATCTTTTTATTTTTTTTCAGCAATTTTGTAATTGTTAGCACACAAGTCTTGTGTATGTTTTGTTTGACACACACGAAAGTATTTCATTTTTTGAGTCATTGTAAATGATATTGTGTTTTAAATTTTAGTGCCCATATGTTCATTGCTAGTACAACAGATTTTTTGCAAGTAGTATAATTGAATATTTAGCTAGTATTCTATGACATTCCTGAAGATACTAATTTATACTAGAAATTTTAATTTTTATAGATTCCTTGGGTTTTGTATGCAGAAAATCATCTCATCAGCAAATGGAAAGATTTTGTTTATTTATTTACAATCTGTATGCCTTTAAGTTTCTTTTCTTACCTCATCGTACTGGCTAGCACTTCTAACACTATGTTGAATAACATTGAAGCATTTTTTTGTCTTGACCCTTATCTTTGGGTGAAAGCACTTAGCCTTTCACCATTAATCATAATGTTATTAGTAGGTTTTTGTAGATGTTCTTTATCAAAGTGAGGCAGTTTCTCTATTCCTATTTCTTGGATTTTTTTTTAATCATGAATGAGTTTTGAATTTTGTCATATGCTTTTTTTTTTGCATCAATGAAAATAAACAAATTTTTTTTTTTTTTTTTTTTTTTTTTTTTTTTGGCCTGATAGTATGATATACTACTTTGATTTTTTAAATATTGAACCAGGTTTGCATCCCCAGAATGAACTCTACCTGGTTATAATACTATTTCCTTTTATATATTGCTAATTTATCTTTGATAGCATTTTGTTAAGGATTTTGGAGACCATACTTGTAAGAGATATTTGTGTGTACTTTACTTTTTTGTGATATTGTCTTTCTCTAGTTTTTGTGTCATGCCAATACTGTATTCATAAAATGAATTATGAAGTATTGACTCCTGTCTGTTTTCTGGAAGAGATTGTGAAAAATTAGTGTTAATTCTTTTTTATATGTTTGGTAGAATTCTCCAGTGAAACCATGTGGTCTGAAGGTTTTTTTAATGGAAAATTGTATAAATTGTAAATTAAGTTTACTTAACAGGTATAAAGCTATTCAAATTATCTATTTAATCTTTGCTGAATTATTTTAGTTTGCATTTTTTAAGGAATTGTTCCATTTCATCTAATTCACAAACATTATGTTGTAGGGTTGTTTGTAGTATTCTTCTCTTACGGAATGAATATTTGTTTTTCCTGCTCACAAATTTGTATGTAAAGTCCTAACCTCCCAATGTGATTGTATTTGGAGGTGCGACATTTGGAGGTCATTAGGTTTTGATAATGTCAGGAGGGTAGTGTGCTCACAATAGAATTCATGTCCTTGTGAGAGGAGGAAGATACCGCATCTCTCTCTTTCTCCTCCGTGTGAGGATGCAGAGAGAAGACAGCACTCTACAAGCTAGAAAGACGGCCGTCACCAAAACCTGAGTATTCGGGCACCTCGATCTTGGAATTCTCAGTCTCCAGAATTGTGAGAAATTGTCTGTTGTTTTAGCCCCGCAGACTATGGTATTTTGCTGTAGCAGCCTGCATTGACCAACATGTCTATTATCCTTTTGACATTTGTAGGTTTTCTGGTTTTATCTCTCATTTTAACAAGTATTTTTAGTAGGCCGGGCATGGTGACTCACTCCTGTAATCTCAGCATTTTAGGAGGCCATGGCGGGTGGATCACCTGAGGTCAGGAGTTTGAGACCAGCCTGCCCAACATGGTGAAACCCCATCTCTACTAAAAATATAAAAATTAGCCAGGCGTGGTGGCGGGCACCTGTAATCTCAGCTACTCAGGAGGCTGAGGCAGGAGAATCGCTTGAACCCAGGAGGTAGAGGTTGCAGTGAGCCAAGATCATGCCACTATACTCAGCTGGGGGGACAGGGTGAGACTCCATCTCAAAAAAACAGAACAACAAAAATGTATTTTTAAATGACTCAAAACATCCATCTTAATTTTTGAGTACATTATAGATATATCTAAATTCTAATATATCTAAAGCAGATCTGTCAATTCTCTTAACTCTAGAAGACTACACAACAGTATTAATTTGTATTTATTTATATTTTTAAGGTTTTAATTGGCAAATAATACTTGGCATATATTTATAGGGTACAATATGATGTTTTGATATATGTGGTTATTGCAGAAAGATTAAATCAGGATGATTAACAATTTGATTACCTCACCTACTTATCTTTCTGTGGTGAGAATGATTAAAATCTACTCTTCAGAATTTTGAAATATACATTATTAGCAGCTATGGTCATCGCATTGTACAATTGACCAATAAAATTTATTCCTCCTGTTTAGCTGAAACTTTGTACCCTTTGACCAACATTCTTCCTTTGTCCATCAGCCCTTCCCTCTCATCCTCTGGTAAATACCATTCAACTCTTTGTTCTTATGAGTTCAACTTTTCTAGATTCCACATATAAGTGAGATCATACAATACTCGTCGTTCTGTGCCTGGCTTATTTAACTTAGCATAACATCCTTGAGGTTCTTCCCTATTATTACAAATGACAGAATTTCCTAATTTGTATAAGGCTAGATATTATTCCAATGTGTATCTATACCACATTTTTTTATTCATTTGTTGATGAACACTTAGATTGCTTCCATATCTTGGCTATTATGAATCATGATGAAATGAACATGGAAATGCAGATATCTTTTTGACATACTAATTTCAATTTTTTATATATATCCCCAGAAGTAGTTTTGACAAAGGTGCCAAGAACACACCATGGGGAAAGGACAGTGTCTTCAATAAAAGGTGTTGGGGGAAAACTGGATAACCATATGTAGAACGAAACTGGACCTTTATCTCACATCATCTACAAAAATATTAACTCAAAATAGGTTAAATACTGAAATGTAAAACCTGGAACTGTGGGACTACTGAAATATAGAGAAAAAGCTTCAGGACGTTGGTATGGACAATGATTTCTCATAAAGGACCCAAAAAGCACAGGCAACAAAAGCAAAAATAGAGAAATGAAATTGCAGCAAACTAAAAAGCTTCTGCACAGCAAAAAACAAAAACAACAACAAAAACACAGTGAAAAGATAACCCACAATTGGGAGAAAATATTTGCAAACTGTACATCTGATAAGGGGTAATATCCAAAATATACAAGAAACTCAAATAGCTCAATAGCAAGAAAACAGATAACTCGATTTAAAAAATGGGCAAAGCACCTGAACAAGCATTTCTCAAAAGATGACATACAAATGACCCATAGGTTCCTGAAAAAACAGTCAACATCCCTAATCATCAGGGAAATGCAAATTAAAATCACAGTGATCTATCACTGCACATCTGTTAGAATGGCTATTAGACAAAAGACAAAAGATAACAAGTATCCTAAAGGTGCAGGGAAAAGGGAACCTGGGTATACTGTTATTGGGAATGTAAATTATAATAGTACAGCTATTTTAGAATACAGCATGGAGGATCTCAAAAAACTCAGAATTACCATACGATCCAGCTATCCCATAGCATTTCTATGTCATCAACACATTAAATTTACCCATTCAGTTATTCATGTCCCAAACTAATTCATCCTTAATTTTTTCTTTCCCTCATGTCCCTATTCAGTGTACCAAACTATACTGATTCTGTTTTCAATTATATCCAGAAACTGACTACCTGTATTTCCACTCCAGGCCATGCCACCATTGTTTCTCACCTGGACTGCTGTGACGGCCCCTCTCATGTGTTCCTTTTCCTCTCTTGCTCCCTAGCAGTTCATCCTTTACATAGCAGGCAGATCACACAAGTCCCATATTCCCTAGAGTGGCTTTCTGGCAAAGAGACTGAAATCTAAATCCCTTACCCCAGCTATAAGGCTTCACATACTGCCTACGGTAGCCCCCGACTTTATCCATGAAAATGTCTCCCCGAAGTCTCTCCTGGCTCGGCATGTTTCAGCAGTCACACCCTTCTTTCTGTTCCTTAATGATGCCACGTTCATTCCCAGCTTGGGGTATTTGCACAAGCTGTTTCCTCCACTCGAGGTGCCCTTTACCCTGGTCAGTTCCTTCTTGTAATGTAAACTCCTGCTTAACTTCTTTTCTTAGAGATCTCTTTCCTGACCTCTCAACCTACTCACTTTCTATTCTGCCAGCTGGTTTTAATGTTTTCTCCTGGTTCAACAACACTTACTCATGTGGGATATGTTCTTATTATTTGGTAACTTGATGTTTTCTTTGTTGAGGTGTAAGCTGCATGAGAACAGAGGCTTTGCCTTTCTCAGTTACCACTGTGTTGCCAGCACATAGAAGCATGTCTAGAACATAATAGGTTCTCAGTATATAATTGCTAGATCTATGAATAAAAGTGTTGTGCTATGAATAAAAGTGTTGTGCTTAAGGTTGTCCCTTCCCATCTTATTTTACTCTCCAACAAGTAAATAAAATATGCATTCTATTCCCACTTTTGGAGATAAGGTAATGGAGTGTTCAACTGATTAAACCAACTGTTGAACTACGATTGTGTATTTCTCCTGCCTGTTTCAAACTTAGGGATGCCATCACTCATGATAAACGTGTAGGAGAAAGAACTTCAAAAAACATGTTGCTGATCTTTGTGTATGAGTCTATTTATATCTTAAATACTTTCAATTAAAGTTCTGAAAATTCCTAGAAAGCATGCTTTGTTATTCCATTTAAATGGTTAGCCTGGTTAGACTAACCCTGAGACTGGCGGGAATGGGGAAGAGTTCTAGAAGAGAATGAGTTTCCATTCAATGTGTTTCAGTCTGTGAGTCCAGGAGTGCTTCTTTCTTTAGTGTAGAAGAACATCATTTCCTGTGTAGTTTTGTTGGGAATTATCAGTTTCAACTAGAATTATTGCAGCTGTCAGAATAAGAAGCCAAAAGACCTGTCTTAGATTTAAAATATGGCCCCATCTGTGCTAAATCTCACAGATACAATATTTATGTTTATACAGAACAAACAAAAATAAACAAAAAACTCTAGGAGTATAAATTAAGAGTGTAAACAAATCCTAAAAACTGCCTAAGGCACTTAAGAATTCAGGAAAACCGCTTTTTCAGAGAAGGCAAGCCTGTAGTTTTCTGGCTTCCACAGCAACTGCCTCTATCCCAGTGTCTTAAAGGGAAAGTACTTTGTGAAAATTGCAAATCCTTGCCATTGTTCTGGCTATTAACTTTTAAAAAGTTGATTGGTAGGGAGATGGTTGTATTAGCCTTGTTGAAATATGAAGAAACTGAGGCACTTCTTTCTCTTAGGACAAGACAGCAAATTAGTTTTGGAGCTCTGTTGCCTGGAGGCAATGTAGAGGGCTTAAGATTTGTGGTTTCTAGGCTACTGTGTTTTAAAGGAGACAATTATGTATCCTCATTTCCAGATACCTGAGCCCGTGCGCTGTACAGAAAATGTAGCCAGTTTTAAGAAACAGCTTATTTTCTACCTCTAAGCCCATGAAGAATACATTTATCCCTGACAAAATAGTGTTGTCCCCAGGTGGTGGTAAATCGTCAAGTCTGTTTAGAATCAGGGTCAGCTTCTCACATGAGCCTTTCCCCCGTGTAGCCTTCCTGAATCTGATTAACACCATGTCAGGGAGTTGTCTGATGTCTGACCTTGAGCAGCATACTTCCCTCTCCCCACCTCCTTTTTTTGGGAATCATTCATTTTGTACAGCCTCGGGCCCTGAGGTTCCTTCCCAGCAGGCTGGAGTGCACTCGCAAGTTCCCTTTATTGGTATCCGAAGGGTTTCAGACCCAGTGACCTGTCATCTGTCTTCTCACCTGCTTACATGCTGATTCACTGATGAGCTGGCATCACAGGCCCCGCCTCCCTCTGAATGGTCTGTGAGGTTGCAACTGCTTCTGGAGAGGGGATGCCGAGCCGAACCAGAGCTGGGATACTACAAGTGTGAACCGGCAGCCTATCTGTTGCCACAGAAGAACTTGGTCACCACACTGAGAAGCCGTGTTTTCTCACCTCCCTGTTACTGTTGTAGCTGTATCTGGCTTCTCTAGCATTTTAAAGGAATTTCTAATTGAGGCGCTAACAGCTAATTCCACAGGAGTTGTAAGGCAGCCTGTGCATAAACTGAGACAGAAGTTTCTCCTGAGAGACTGTCTTTTTTATATTATTATTATTGGCAAAGACTTCTGGCTCTCCTCAGAGGAATACCTTGTTGCTTAAGATGAGTGGCTGTAGAAAGCGGTGTAAACGGGAAATATTGAAATTTGCCCAGTACCTTCTCAGACTATTAACAGGTTCTCTTCATACAGGTAATGACTTTTTTTTTTTTTTTTTTTTTTTTAAATAGAGGCTAGTGGAGCATGGTAATGAAGTTGAAATGGAATAGGAAAGACTCACTATTTCTTTGTTGTGATTATTTTTAATGTTGTCAATAAAATGCAACTGTATTTGCTGAGATTTATGTTTCTAAAAATGTGTGCAGTGCAGCTCTTTTGGGGGTAGAACTGAATTCTGTGGATGTATTTTTTTTATGTCTTCAAGGCAGTGTTGTTGGTAAATTTCAGGAAACAGTATCTGCAGAGTAGAAAGATTTTTTTTTTTTTTTTTTTTAATACATGATCGTGCAAGGGGTTTTTCTCTTCTTTCCTGCTTGCTGCAGTTTACTGGAAAAGCACACAGATTTTCTTCCTGCAGATATTTAGAAATTCTCTAGAACTCTTTGATTATTATAATCCACAGATTATTTCCAGTGTGTTTGATCATAGGGCTTGGCTGTGAAAGAGTTAAGGGTATTTCTTTTGGATCTCTGAGTTCCTTGCAAATTGTGAGCAAAATATGAAAACAGCTGTAGAGTAAAATGTCCATGCGAGGTTTGATATTTGTTTCATTGCAGTGGATTTCAATGTTTAAAAATTTGCACGATTGAAATAGAAACTCTATTTAAATCTTAAGTGTTGATAGCAAGAAAATATTTTTAAAATGTTCCAAAATTATGAGGCTAAACCAACAGTTTTGTTGCCCATGAAATTCCTAGGCAATGCTGTCATTAAGTTAGTGACAGGTGGGACCAAAATTACTTGACACTGATAATATATATATTTTTAACAGATCATCAAACTTCTGAGAGACAAATCTTGGTTAATAGAACACCATACTTTGATTCTGGTCGTAAAGAACTGTTGTGAGCTTTATTTTTCAAATACTGACCTGTATTTGTCTTCTTTAAATGAAGAGAAAAAAAAGAGTAAAGAAACTCACACACTGTAAATAAGTAAGGATGATGTCAGGATGATGTGCCATTTATGATATCATGTCACATTTGACAATGAGCAAGAGGTGATGTGCTGATATAAAGCTGAGAGATGAATTTGAGCAACATTTTACCTAAGAAAGTCAAGTCTTCACGATAATTAACAAAACTGCATATGCAATTATGTTAGTGTAATAAGGGAAAACCATTTTAAGAGAATAACTGACAATCAAATGATTTTAGAGAGCCTCATTAAATATTAATAGATATTAAGAGGATTGTTAATATCCTAATGTTAATTTCCTGTTAATATCCGCATTTTAATCTTTAGGTAATGTGAATTGTGGTGACTTTGGATATTCTTTAAGGAATAATCGTTGAGAGTCTGTATCTGACTTTTGCCAGCTCAGAGCTCTGTGGTGGTTCTCATGCGGTCTTCACCTTTAGATTACAAATGTTTAGTCCCATCACTATGACTTTGACGTTACCGGCGTATTAGCTTTCAACATTCAAGTAAGGATGATGTACCATTTATGGTATCATGGCACATTTGAAAATGAGCAAGAGGTGATCTTTTACCTTGCCATGAAACTAGAGAAATATTTTATAAAAGAAAGCTTTCCATGAGGTTTCCATGGTTGTCTGTCCTTTTCTCTCTGATAGGGCAATCCTAAGGTTCTGTTTCTGACTGGATTTAGGTGCCGTTTTCTGCCTGTCTAGCTCATTCTGTTTGTTGAATAGTTTTCTTAAACTTTTGATTTCAAAGAATTTTACGAAAATGGTAAGTGGTTGTGAAGCTGTAAACCATAAGTATTAAATCCAAATTACTGTGGTTGGTACTTTATCACTGGATGGTACTTTATTATATGGAAATTATGGAAAGCTAGTATAGCAGCAATATTTTAAGCTTTATTCAATGCATATTTAGAAATCACTTTAAGTGGTATTGCTTTCTTTTTGAACCGCAGGAGAAACAAAAAGAAGCATAGCATCTTTGAACTTTGAGAACAAGGACCGACAGATTATCATAAAGTAGTAACATAGATTTATGACCTGAGAAATGTGATTACAGCAACCTGTTTCTTGTAAAAATTCTTTTCGGCTCAGTCTCTAATACTAAATTTTGTGATATCCAGCCAGAATCTTTACAACTCCTCAAAAATGCTACTTGGAAAAGTCAATTTATGCATTTGCTAGATGCTCTGGTAATATACACCAGTGATATTGCAGAGTCTAATGTAAAATTCATTAGGACATTTTCAAGTCCCTTAGCTAAGTAATTAATGAAGAAGTTGGAAACAGAGTTGAACTAGCTTAAAAAATTTTCTTTAAAGTTGGATATGCAGGCAGCTGCTAACCGTATCCTGAACAATCACCATGCATCTTTATAGTTATCAAAAATTTAAAACAGCACGAACATGTCTTGGGTGATTTTATTCTTTTTACCAACAATCCCTTTATTTTTGTTTTTTTGGTCAATCATGTTATCTGAGGAAATAGTGATTTTGTTTTACATTTTAAAACGGGTTAATTCTGAAATATATAATTTTATTTTTGGCAGCTGCTTCTCATTTGATATCAAAATGGGCCATTTATATAAACATAGAACATTGGAAGTGCAAAGAAACTTTTGTGGATACAAACTTTCCTTCAATTTGTCTTATTAGTGTTATCACAAGTTAGAGAAAAGCAGTCTCCTTTTGTGAGAGCTTTTCATGTAAGTTTTGGCAATGCCTAGGATTGTTTACAAATTAAAAATTTAATTTGATTTCTAAAATAATTTTTTTAAAGAGTACAGATTCAAAGGTAAAGATTTGTCCAGCTAAAATAAGATACATCTATTTTCCCTGAAACTCTCTACATGTTTTTTATCATGGCAAATCACTTCTCAAAGAGTGTATTTTACAAACATTTGTAATGTCTGTATTAATCATAAAAACACAATCATTTAAAAATTTATTTGTTATGTATAGTAAATCACAGAAATCCATATGCAAATATTACAAGTTAATGACCTCAGTTCATTGTAGCATCAAGTATCCTATTTTCTTCTCTGTTTGAGACCTGCCTCTTGATGTACCATATTATATTCAATTCTAGATGGTGCTCATGCTACCCAATATATTCTTGTACACCTAAATAAATGGAAATAAGTCTTAGGATTGCTCCAAGAATATGACGCTTCTATCAGTGGGCAATTTGTGTATCATAGGAACCCATACAACATCCCACTGAGAAGGATGAATGTTATTACAGATATCATGTTTTTGAACTGTTTCTTCTTTATGTGCAAAATTTAGTATTGTCATGTTTTAGGGTACTTATTTGAAGGTTGTTTTGACATTTTTCAATATTCTGTACATTGTTTGCTTGAAAAGTCAAGACCTGAACACATTTTTCTATTAGCAAGAATTCCCCAAATATATGTGTGAGGTGGTTATTGCCTGGAGCTCTGTTTCAGGCTTCAGGCCTGAAAGTTATAGGCATGTCCAAGTTCAATTCTCCACCTAAGGGAAGCAAAAGCAATTTAAACCCAAAACACTGAATTGCTGTTTAACTACTGGGTTAAAGTTTTTCAAATTTTGTGAAATTATATTATTAAAAGCAGGAGGTAAGAATTCATCATTCCATCAAGTAGAGAGTTTTAGATTAAAGGATGAGAGAGATGGTGCACATTCGACATATGTTTCACGTGGTTTCCAGCCTTAAACTTGACATCACTGAAGGTATTGTGGGACAAGTCACCACAGGCTAGACATATAAATACTTACTTTTCTTTTTGAGGTAGAGTCTCGCTCTGTCGCCTAGGCTGGAGTGCAGTGGCGCGATCTCAGCTCACTGTAACCTCTGCCTCCCGGGTTTTAAGCAATTCTCTCTGCCTCAACCTCCCGAGTAGCTGGGATTACAGGCGCTCACCACCAAGCCCCAGTAATTTTTGTATTTTTAGTAGAGACGAGGTTTTGCCATGTTGGCCAGGCTGGTCTTGAACTCGTGACCTCAGGTGATCCACTCACCTTGGCCTTCCCAAGTGCTAGGGTTATAGGCATGAGCCACCATGCCCGGCCTTAAATATTTTTGTATACTACATTTTTGAAGTCTGAAGAGAAGGTAAGAGGTGATCCTAAGCAAAATCAGAGACTTGACAAAGTTTTTTTCTGGCCATGTGCCCTTCCATTTTCCATTCTCTTCTTCCCCCCTGGAGATGGTAGAACAGAGAATTATATTTCCAACCTCTCTCCCCTGTGTATTCTCTCATCCCCCAGCCAGCCACATTTATACATAGGGCAGACACATCTCACACAAAGGATGTGCCCCTAAAGACTTCACATAAATACACACTAGCAAAATTCAAGCTGAATCTTGGCCAAATAAATAAATAAAATAAAATAAAATAAAATGACAGGATTTTCTATTTCCTGGTTCAAGTGGCCCTGGCATGTGGCAGTCAAATAGTTTATATTCTCTTGGCCTGCCTGCTCTGAAATTATGCTATTCCTGATTTTTTTTCAACTTTTTAATCGATTCTTTCAAATTTTGCTGATAAAACAAGATTATATTTCATATAGCATCATGTAAAATTTGCATTATTCAAATGTATATAAAATACCACCATGTTACACTGTTTTCTTGTGCTGTTTCTTCCATTGAAATCTATTCTCAAGCAAAAAGAAAGCAAAGAAAAATGATGTTTACACTTGACTGCCAATGAATTTTTATGGCACTGTTACTTTTCCCAACAGAGTTTACATTTTAAACTTTATCAGGATAATTATTTTGTCCTGTTTAAGTTTATAATCAGGATTAAAGGGACATTTGTGGAGAATTCATGGTCTTGCTTAATCTTCTTATAATCTGTCATTTCTGCCAAATCTGATTACAGGGTCCCTGATTAAACAGACAAAACACTTATATATATAGGTAACTGGTTGGCGTCTTGAATTTCAGAAAGAAATTTGCATGTTAATGTTTTATTACATCGCAAATTATGTTCTTTTTCCTATAATTAGCATATTAGGTAAGCTTGCAGTGCAGAGTTAAAAAAAGCCTCTTCTTTCCCAA